ATGACATATGTAGTCATAAAAAGATTTGTATTAGTGATCATATTTGTATTAGTAAAATATTAGTGTTTACTAATGCATGTACATGACTTTATCTTAAAGTAGCTGACCCTTTATTGTTTTCAATTTTACTGCTCTGGTTTTGAAGCAGTTCTCTGCGTATTCTACTACTTGTCTTATTGTTTTCTCAACTTTATTATTAAAAAACATATTTACATGTGAGATGAAAACCGCTGATAATTTTCCTGCGTGAAGATCTCGTAAATAAATTGTTATTCGTCTACTGTGAAGGACACGTGAAAGCTACAGTTAGTCATTATACACTCTAGAGACTGAGAATGGATTACGTCATTACCGTGTCGCATTATGAGAAATCGTGTAAAAATAACGATATTGTAATAGGACGAACCCCGTATTTTGGGAACCAAATTTGTAAAGCGAAAACTGCAGAAAAATATATTTATAAAATTGGGGAAAGTTAAGAAATTTGTACAGCAACATATTCATGAGAAAATCTAAACAGATATGACACAGTTAGTCTACATCTAACAAGGGTTAGTTCGTATGTACCAAAACCAGTGCAACTGTCTTAGGCCCAACATTTGCATTCTGAAGGCGATGATAATATTATTATTATTACTCATATTATTTCCCGAAGAAGATAAAAAACGGTCATACATAACGAAACTAATAAAGAAAAAAACACAAACAAATACTCATTCAAAACACAGTTCTGGTATTAAGACTGACCATAATGAATTGAGCTATGGGAAGTGGCATATGTTTGTTGCTCATAGTGGAGATGTATTCGTCACTCTCACTACAGATTCCAAAATATGAAAAGACGTCATGTATTAGCTGTAAAAGCGAGTCAAAATGACCCAGTTAGAATTGTCAAAGATAAGATTTGTATTGCTTTTTATGTCCGTCACTGTGAAGTATCTGACCTGTACAATTGATGTGTTTGTAGCGTCAGTGTTCCAATTCAAGATCTAATAAGATACATATGCGTATGTTAGTACGAGACGTAATTTGCTGGCCACCTCTTTATAAAGACGTGACATCGGCAACGGCGACATGGTTTTAAATTAGCAATATTGATCGTTCATTGGATTTAAATCCACGACGTGCAAATTAGGATAAATATGTCATAATCATCAGTTCTGGTGGTTTATTGGATTTAATATATTGCTGTTTCAGTTATTTGAAATATATATATATAATTTATAAATTACAGAAAAATCATAGTTTGTAGTATATATAATCATAGATCTATATATAGTTTCTCTCACATAAAATAATCCATTTCACGAGTAAATGAACAATAGCTTCCCTGTATCAAACCTCGGAATTAAACTCTGGTACAAATATAAATTATATTTTTAATTTAAAAATTCGAAAATTTAAAGAGATGCTGCAATTTGATGAGTGTGGACAGTGGGAACTAAGTGTCCCTGGGCTTCTACTGCCCGGGACAGTAAAATTAAATTGTAATGTCCAGGACAATAACAAGTGGGGTCACAGGAAACCTGTACGCTACCAGTAAATGCAAATGACGCCCACGATACGTGATTACGTATTGAGGCAGTTACAATTTATTGACCTCAATAGGATTGCAACTGCAGTATGAAAGCACTGTGGGTCTACTGGTCCATGGAAGCATGAAGCTACGTTTACAGTGCACACACTTCATCACCCATGACGTACAGTAAACACTCTTGACAAAACAGAAGTGCTAAAGGTCAAGATAGAAGAAACAATATTGTGATAATACCACTAGTAACTATCAACAAATGCATTGCATGCAGCTGGGAAGTCAAGATTGGCGTTTTAAATTGGATACTTGGTGAAAACTAGAAACACGTGTGTGAGGCTGTTATAATGATGTATCCCGACTGTCCAGCGACCATATATGTAGTGGGTCAATAACAATACGTCAACGTATGCTAATATAATCAATTGTGCATAGCCATTACTTAGCGGGTCATTGATCACACCACAATGACTGTGCAGCAAGGGCATACCTTACCAAGAAAGGTCAGTGGTAAAAAACATCAATACCTCTCTGCAAGCTGAGTACAGGTAATGAATTTCTATATATCGACCAGACATTAATAGGGCTTCACTCGTTATGAAAAGGTGTGACGTCGACGATTTTGAAGAAATCCAACAATTATTACCCTGTTTTTAACGCCTCTCATTAGGAATTGGATACCTTTTAGTGTCTGTGACTCGTTATGTTAAACTAGTCTACTCTCACCAGCAGATACCACAGTGCACGAAGGAATCGAGTGGTGTACAGTGACGTCGCTGGCTGTGTTCTTACGACGGTATGCACTTGTTTTACTAATTATGCATTCACCTGCCGTACCGTGAGGATTTTAAAACGGTTGAGTCGATTATAATCTACATTAAGCCAGGCAGAAAAGCGTGCACTCACTGCTTATCACATTTATTGACAGTTCATACATGATGGCGGATGTACACATTCTCTCTTTCATTCTTTTATGTTGTGTTGCCATTAACTTTGCGCTATCTAGCAATGACGTCAATGATGACGATTTATTGATTACCCTGAGTGGAAATTCGGTTATTCGTGGTAAACGCGAGACAGTGTTGGACAAGGTAGTCGACGCGTATCTTGGCATTCCGTACGGTAAAGCACCTATAGCGGAGTTACGATTCAAAGCTCCTCTCAAAGTTGATGACTGGGATGGGGTACTTGACACAACTCAGTATGGAAACGCTTGCTATGGATGGATTGACAACTACTATGGTAATTTCTCGGGAACACAGATGTGGAATTCTAAACAACCTCTAAGCGAAGATTGTCTGAATTTAAATGTATGGACAACACATCCAAGACCTGAAAATGCCGCTGTGATGGTTTGGATATACGGCGGCGGTTTTTACAGTGGTACTTCGGGGCTGGATGTGTATAATGGAAAGTACTTAGCTGCAGAAGAAGGTGTGATTGTGGTTTCTCTCAATTATCGTCTGGGCCCATTAGGGTTTCTATACCTGCATGAACACACACCAGGAAACATGGGGTTGCTAGACCAAGTGCTAGCTTTGCAGTGGGTTCAAGACAATATCATTAATTTTGGTGGCGACCCTACTAGAGTTACAATATTCGGAGAAAGCGCTGGATCCGTTAGTGTTGGAATGCATCTATTATCGCCATTAAGTCGTGATTTGTTCAACTATGCTATATTAGAAAGTGGAACACCGAACAACCCGTGGGCGTCTGTTAGTCTGGAATTAGCAACGGATCGAGCCAGTCGTTTAGCACTCGCCGTTGGATGTTACAATGGCGATTTTAGCATAATGCTATCTTGTCTACGCCAGGTTGGCCCACAAGAACTTGTTAATAATCAATGGGAGGATTATGGCGTTTATGTGTTCCCATTTGTACCAGTGGTAGACGGCACGTTCCTTACTGAAACTCCGCAATCATCTTTAGACAGACACTCTTTTAAAAACACCTCTATTTTGATTGGATCGAATCTCAACGAAGGAAATTTCTTTTTGATCTACGGTACCAGTGGCTTTAACGCATTCACTGACAGTTTGTTAAACCACTCACTGTACCAGCAAGCAACAAAGGAAAGCTTTCAAGATTACAATCAGTTCGGCCTTGACGCCATATCATTTCAGTACATTGATTGGATGGATCCAGATAATGACACAATGTTACGTAATGCGGTGGATGCGATGGTTGGTGATTATAATATTATATGCCCTGCCAACCAATTCGCAACGTCGTATGCTCGAGTTCAGCAAACTGTTTATAAATATTATTTTACTCAAGTGTCATCCAACTCCCCCTGGCGTGATTGGTTGGGCAGTCTCCATGGTGATGAGATCGCCTATGTTTTTGGTATTCCTTTGGATATAAGTACTGGATTCTCGACACAAGAAATACAACTTAGTAGAAAAATCATGAAATATTGGACGAATTTCGCCAAAACAGGGTAAGAACAAAAACGCTTATAAATTAATTTATTTGGCAGTCAACTACTTAATAAATTGAATTAGTTCTCAAAAGCATTGTGACAGTGTTAAGTGTAAACGTTCACAGTAAGAAAAGACGTGGATGCAAAATTTGCGTTAATGTACGGTGACGCCATTTGTACGGATACGAATGTGGTTTTGATCGGTCTATGGGCGAGTCGACCCGCATACCGGACTGGAACATCCTTAAATGACGTCATTAATTGGTATTTCCGTAGAAGTTAAACACATTTATTACAACATTCAACATCATAATAGCCCTTAAAACCCCGAAACGGAATAACAAGAATGTCTTGATTAGTCACGATATACAATTTGTTCACCATATGTTACAATTTCAGATATGGCATAATAATTCTAGCATAGCAAAGCGTTCTAATAGTAACAGAATAACTGCAATTAACAAATGTAAAATACAAATAGGCTGGTCATTCAAACTGTTTTAATTCAACATTTTAGGTATTTTCGTAAGTGTCTACTTGAAAACACGGGTTAATTGTCCGTGGAAAATAATCAACAGAATGCTCCTCTTAAAACTGTTCAATTAGATTTTATTTATTTAATTTCTCTGTTCTGTGTCATGACCTGACAAATAAGTTCCCCCAGGCGGCGTCGTAATTCGTCCTTTCTATGACCTGACAAATAGGGTCTCGAGAGGCATTGTAATTCGATCAAAACGTTAGATATATTACACCTTATGTACACCTTCGTGTAATTGGGTCGTGGTATTCTTAACCATAGCACTGTGTATTCATTGATACATTCGGCAAGTATGTTGATAACTCAGTTTAAATTGAAAAATTTACTTTTTACATTATACAGTTTTCCTAATAATTGCCATATAGCGAAGAAACATGACAAAACATTGTAAATGTAACAATTTTCAGCATCTGAATATCGCCCCGTTTGATTAATACTAAGACCAGACTTGCCAATGCTAGAGTTTCATTTTAAGAAAAAATAAATCTTTCAATTGAATCGGGGCGTTATGGATATAGTATTAATTGTGTTTATTTTCTCATAGTAACCCCAATACAGGCGATGAGTGGCCAGTATATACGCCGACTAGTAAAGAGTATTTAATTCTAAACACCGATTCTTTAGACGATGTTAAAGTTGGTATAGGTCTCCGTGCAAATAAATGTGGATTCTGGGACTATTATTTACCCAACCTCAATATTCAAACAGGTAAGAACGATCACACACTGCACTGCATCTAGTCTAGTCTAACATGGTACAAACAGGTAGGAATCGGCATACACTGCACTGCATCTAGTCTAGTCTAACATGGTACAAACAAGTAGGAATCGGCATACACTGCACTGCACTGCATCTAGTCTAGTCTAACATGGTACAAACATGTAGGAATCAACATACACTGCACTGCACTGCATCTAGTCTAGTCTAGCATGGTACAAACATGTAGGAATCAACATACACTGCACTGCATCTAGTCTAGTCTAGCATGGTACAAACATGTAGGAATCAACATACACTGCACTGCATCTAGTCTAGTCTAGCATGGTACAAACATGTAGGAATCAACATACACTGCACTGCACTGCATTTAGTCTAGTCTAGGCATGGTACAAAACATGTAGGAAATCAACATACATTGCACTGCACTGCATTTAGTTAGTTTAACATGGTACAAACATGTAGGAATCAACATACACTGCACTGCACTGCATCTAGTCTAGTCTAGCATGGTACAAACAGGTAGGAATCGGCATACACTGCACTGCATCTAGTCTTGTCTAGCATGGTACACACAGGTAGGAATCGGCATACACTGCACTGAACTGCATCTAGTCTAGTCTAGCATGGTACAAACAGGTAGGAATCGGCATACACGGCACTGCACTGCATCTAGTCTAGTCTAGCATGGTACAAACAGGTAGGAATCGGCATACACTGCACTGCATCTAGTCTTGTCTAGCATGGTACAAACAGGTAGGAATCTGCATACACTGCACTGAACTGCATCTTGTCTAGTCAAGCATGGTACAAACAGGTAGAAATCAACATACACTGCACTGCATCTAGTCTTGTCTAACATGGTACAAACATGTAGGAATCAACATACACTGCACTGCACTGCATCTAGTCTAGTCTAGCATGGTACAAACAGGTAGGAATCGGCATACACTGCACTGCATCTAGTCTTATCTAGCATGGTACACACAGGTAGGAATCGGCATACACTGCACTGCATCTAGTCTAGTCTAACATGGTACAAACAGGTAGGAATCGGCATACACTGCACTGCATCTGATCTT